GTAGAAATACGTGCAATAAAGCATGTTCACCTAGGTTGCCCCGGATATAACTGTTATAAATAAGTTCCGTAGTGATTATATAATGGCTGTCTCTTATACACATCTAGATGTGTATAAGAGACAGCTTCAAGCCCGGCTGAAGCCAACATTAGCGGCTGATTTACGCGCTCCCCGAGTCCTGGGCGGCACCTGATGCAGAGTCGAGCCCGTGTCTAAAATTTCTAGGGTCAGTTACCAGCTTTATTACGTCACCATGCCAATGCGAGACAAGATTTTGGAAATGCCCAATGGATTTAGTTGTGTTCAAAAGTAAAAAAGCCCTCATTTTATTGCTATATTTGTTATTTTATGTCAATAATTACAAACTTTAATGAATTAATCAAAGTTTAAATTACAAACAATTACATTACAAATTGTGATGTTATTGTATAAATTACAAATTACAAACACTAATTAACAATATTTCATCTTTTATCACAGTAACAATCTCATATAGCTTCGTGCTCCAAGAACAGCGTGCTTTTGAAAAAAGAAACCTACAAAATATTTTCAGATTCTTCCCCGAAAAATAGGCTTTTCGTCATGGATGAATCGTCGTACATCTGGCACAGAGGAACTAGGGTTAAAACTGAAACCTTGATGCCTTAATACTTTCTGCAATTCCATAGTCTTAGATTAGTATTAATGTTACGTTTAGCACGAAGTTGGAATGACGTCATAGTGACGTTGTATTGACGTCATAATGACGTTGTAATAACGTTCTAATGACGTTTTCAGTGTTATGGTGTGACGCTGGATGGCGCCAGCGCCCTCAGGGCGGGGCAGTTCGATGGCATCTTTCAGCTGCAGATGCCAGACGCCGCCAGACTCTACATCGTCGCCGTGCCCGTCACACGTCTCACGTACGTCACGTACTACACTTGCTAATCTACACTCACGTATTACCCGTCACATTACAGTATTTCCCCAAAATATACTAATATTACCCTAAATGATCAGGGTATTAAAGGACACTAACATTACCCTAAATGATCAGATTATTACCCCAAATGATACTAATATTACCCTAGATTATCAGAGTATTGCCTTGAAATGTTCACAAATAGTCTCCTATAAACACTCGTCGATATTATAGCCCCTGACTATATCCCTAACTACTCGTATAACTATTTAATTAACGCTTCCCCTCCCCGCAGTTCGGAGCTGGCAGGGCTTTTTATCAATAAATTTGCTTATATATTGTATATATTATTCAAAGTGTTAATCAATGTAAATTATATAGAATTTTGTCTCTATATCAGCCATGGCGCAGCGCAGTTTTAGGGATAGATGGCCGGTTATTGTTTCACGGCTCCATCCTGCTAAAGCGCGACCAGCCCGGCTAAACCCGGCGCCGGTCTCGGCTCAAAATTTTAACTGGGAACTATAACTATATCCTCAACGGCTCCCCCCCTCCCCCGCTGTTCGGAGCTAGTAGTGCTTTTTATCAATAATTTTGATGATATGTTGTTTATATTATTCAATATGCTAATCAATGTATATTATTCAATAACTATTAAATATATTATTTAATACCTATAACCCTAACCTCCCCTCCCCCGCCCCCGCAGCCCCGAGGTGGCGGTGCAGCGGGTGGTGTACGCGCGGGCGGGGGGGGCGCGGGTGGTGGTGGTGCAGCCCGCCGCTGAGTACAGCGGGTCCGCCTTCCGCTGGGACTCAGTGGATGTTGTCAGCACTGACGACTCCGTCACGCATAAAAATATAACTAGAATTAAAAATAACTAAAATAAGATATAATAACTAAAAATTAAAATAACATACCATAACATTAATGGCATAACAATACAGAACATTAAAATAAAACAACTAGAATAAAGATAAAATAACTAAAAAAATTAAAAAAACATACCATAACGTTAATGGCATAACAATACTGAAAATTAAAATAGAAGTAAATGATATTCCAATTAAATACAACCAGTCGAAGAAAGACAAGGGTCATAGAGTGCAGTTTATACCAGCAACTTATATGTTATCTTTAGACTGTAACCAAAATATTTTAACTTTGTATCATAACAGTTATGATGAATTCAAATATTTCGCAATAATGTTCATTAACTGAGCGACATGCTATATACATTTTTTAATTAAAGTGTCCGTTGATCAACTGTTTATTCTCCACTAATCTATAAACCCAACATTTCTCTATCTGCTTTCTATCTGCGTTAACAAAGACTGAATATAAACGATAACGCACAGTGTGGAGTGAAATTCCCGAATACTGATGAAGGCGTTGTAGACGGGGAACACAGACGTTGTAAATTACAAAGCTGTCGCCGCACGAGGCTGCTTGCGGGTAGCTCAGCGGTCAGTAACAAGAGTCGGCCAGCGGTCGGCCGGATCCAATTAACTATAACCGACGGCTGGCTATACCTTGGCCATCTGAAAAACCCCCCATCAATCAAAATTCCTGCTGGAACAAACACCGTAACAAAATATAGAGGTGGGCGCGACTCTGTATTAGGTGCCTCCTAGGACTCGGGGAGCACGTAAAACATCTGCTCATGTCAGCTTCGGCTTAGGGTCTAAACGGCGGCCTCTGGGCAGCTTCCTAGCTCGGTATAACTTGACTTAGCTAACCCTTTTCATACTCTCGGGCGACTATGAAGTCGGAAAGATGATTCTGACCAGAAACGAATTTCAATATCTGGCGGCCAAGCAGACCCAGAATAACTTTGCGCCGAGCGTAGCGACTCTTGGAACCTAGACTGTCCCAAAATTTTGTTAGGGTATCATCTCACCAAGACTACAAGCTCGAGAGTAGCAAGAGTAACTTTGCATTTTATGCCCCTATGTGGGTCATCCTGACCCAGTTTGGCCCAGCAAAGGAGCGTATCAGTGCTACGTCCGCTCTCTGCTCGTATATACTGTGATTAAGAAAGTGTGCCAACATTAGGCCAATATAATTCATTGATTTTTCTCTGTGCCCCCTTAATTAAGGTCATTATTGGTAATGATGCTGATACACCGTTTTATCCTCCTATACTGGGTCAGGATGACCCATAAAAGTGGCTCGTAATTCGGACAAAGTCACACACATTTCCCTGCAACGGTCTAATGCTCTAACCCGACGCTGGAAACAACTATAAATTAAACTAATAAATATATTATTGCAAAAAAGCTGCTGCTATGGATATTGGCGTAGCAGTTGATAATAAATACAATAAATTTATATGTATTACCGACATTAAAAATGCTTTTTATTATAACTAAACCTTGATCCACTCATAATAATCAGGCAGTGAATGTTCTATTTATCTCAATAATTTTTCTTAATAATAATAATTTCACAAGCTCTCACATGAAAAATTTGATAAAATAAATTAGTACAACAGTGAGGGGTACAACAGTGAGTGGTGCAACAGTGAGTGGTGCAACAGTGAGTGGTACAACAGTGAGTGGTACAACAGTGAGTGGTACAACAGTGAGTGGTGCAACAGTGAGTGGTACAACAGTGAGTGGTACAACAGTGAGTGGTACAACAGTGAGTGGTACAACAGTGAGTGGTACAACAGTGAGTGGTACAACA